CAATTAAGACTGGCAAGAAACATTACCTGAGTGATTCTAGCCTAATATCTCTTTGGCAAGTTAGAATTGAATTCAGTCCTCTAGCAGAGACTGCTTTTCATCAAGAACAAAATCTCTCCGAAAACTCAGTAAGTGCAATGGCTGTAACTGAATCCTGGGGAGGCAGTGATCTAGGAAGAAATCCTTCTGGATAGGTGTTGTTTTGCAGAAGATGTAAACATGCAGGAGGTTCATGAGTCTCTGTCATTGAAAGGTGGCATGCATTTTAGTGTTTATTTTCTGATCTCTGAGGTTATCACTAGTTAAAATGGAGAGGTTCTCTTACATTATTTCCTGCTCCTCCAATTTGCTCTTATTTATGCAACAGAGAGGATGATTCAACAGCCACTCAATCCCAAGTTACTAATGCCTTAAGCATACAGTCCACCCCATGCCCCCGCCCCCCAAGAAAGCTTCCTGAGTGGTTAGTGACCAGCTTCTCCTGTTCACCAATATCTCTTCCTTGTCCCTCTAGCTCCCCAGGCGGATCTGGAAGAGGAAACATGCCACGACTTGACCGAGGTAAAGGCTCTGAGTACTGTGAGTGTACCTGCACCTTTCTTTATCTGTGATAAGATTGTTGCTTCACTTTATTTCTTATTCAGACAAATACAGTTATAGTCATCTGACAATTTACATTCCCACTGAGGCATGTAATTCCTTGGCTGGGAAAAGTGTGAGGATAAATCTATTATCAACACAGACCTATTTCACAAGGACATTAAAAAAAGACAGCATCATTTACTACTGTAGGTACTTTGGTCAGCATAAAGTTCTCTTTCTTTTTTTAAATGTTTTCTGTTTTTCTTTCAAAGTTCAATTTCTTGAAAAGCAATTTGTTATTGTTGGACACATTGAAATTGAGAGATCTTTTGTGAAACAGACTTTCCGCCAGTACACTCTCTGTTTTACTTTGAAGTCATTGGAAAAAAGAGTTTTAGTTATCTGAGGAGACAAACCACATGACAGAATACTTAGTGCAGGAGGTGGAAGATGCTGAAACCTCACTCTGTTTCCTTCTCTCCAGTCACAGGAATTCGGGGATGCGAGTGAACATGGTAAATATTCAGGGATCAACACTCTGCTGAGGTACAATCCATCGGATAAAGCTGGGGTTTTCTGACTGGCTCTGGTTGGAGAGTGGTGCTGATTCTGGATCCCTACTTGGGGTGCGGGCTGGAGGTGCATGGAAGAGACTGATCTCCCAGGATAGAATAATATCTTTATTCTATGGTACCTGGAAGCAGCTACATCATTTAGATGCTGTGGGTTTGTGTGAATCGGGCTTGGGGGCCCATGTGTGGGCCGAGTGGTGTGATTCTGATGCTCTGTGTCTGTGTGTGTTTCCTCAGGAGATGTTTCCCTCTTACACAGCACAAGTCACCTGTGAACTTTCTAAACACTTCTTATCACCACTGCACACTGACTATACATTACTTGATTCATTCCTCAGCTCAGCCATTCCTCATGTTTGGTTAATATTCATTTTCCTCAATTGAAGAAGGTGCTGAATACAATGGCCCAAGCTGTTGACAATTCTATGTTGAAAAGCCAAACTGAGAACCTAGGGGTGTTCCCAGTGTGACTGCTCTGGACCCCTGACCTTCACTTATCACTCAGCGTTGAAATCCTGGTCATGGGGCAAGGTCTGGCTGCATCTGTGCTTTTGCCTGGAGGTACTAGAGCTCCAGAGATCCAGACCGTGTACATCATCGCAAGACGGTCTCAGTGGTCAAGGAACCCAGGGCAAACATAAGCAGATTATCACCAACTTTGGCACAGTCATTATCGTCAAAGGCACCTAGGGACTGACATCCTCCTGGTCAGTTCACAGAACTGGGAGTTGTATGCCCTGGTTTAGACAGGACAGGCCAAATCTGTTCCTGCTAGTGTCATTGCTTAACCAAGGAGAAAAGCAGATTACCATCAGGGAGATATTTCATTGTACTGGGTGACAACACCATAAGCCTTAGGTCAGTTCAAGCCTACAGCACACTCTCAAGGGCAGGTGTCAAATAGATCTCATGGTGGAGCTTGACAGTCTGTTTGGTGACTTAACTCTAGTAAACCTCGTGCATACCTGAGTCCAAGAAAGTCAACGTTTGCCCCAGGCTTTCTCTCCATCGTGAACTGTCCCACTCAATGTATGGCTTCTCTGAGTGTCAGGAGAGACTCATTCAGGGACGCGCAAATGTTGGTTGGACAATTAAGACTGGCAAGAAACATTACCTGATTGATTCTAGCCTAATAGCTCTCTGGCAAGTTAGAATTGAATTCAGTCCTCTAGCAGAGACTGCTTTTCATCAAGAACAAAATCTCTCCGAAAACTCAGTAAGTGCAATGGCTGTAACTGAATCCTGGGGAGGCAGTGATCTAGGAAGAAATCCTCTGGATAAGTGTTGTTTTGCAGAATACGTAAACATGCAGGAGGTTCATGAGTCTCTTTCATTGAAAGGTTGCATGCATTTTAGTGTTTCTTATTTTCCGATCTGTGAGGTAATCACTAGTTAAAATGCAGAGGTTCTCTTTCACTATTTCCTGCTCCTCCAATTTGCTCTTATTTATGCAACAAAGAGGATGATTCAACAGCCACTCAGTCCCAAGTTACTAATGCCTTAAGCATACAGTCCACCCCATGCCCCCGCCCCCCAAGAAAGATTCCTGAGTGGTTAGTGACCAGCTTCTCCTGTTCACCAATGTCTCTTCCTTGTCCCTCTAGCTCCCCAGGCGGATCTGGAAGAGGAAACATGCCACGACTTGACCGAGGTAAAGGCTCTGAGTTCTGTGAGTGTACCTGCACCTTTCTTTATCTGTGATAAGATTGTTGCTTCACTTTATTTGTTATTCAGACAAATACAGTTATAGTCATCTGACAATTTGCATTCCCACTGAGGCATGTAATTCCTTGGCTGGGAAAAGAGTGAGGAGAAATCTATTATCAACACAGACCTATTTCACAAGGACATTAAAAAAAGACAGCATCATTTACTACTGTAGGTACTTTGGTCAGCATAAAGTTCTCTTTCTTTTTTTGAATGTTTTCTGTTTTTCTTTCAAAATTCTCTTTCTTGAAAAGCAATGTGTTATTGTTGGACACATTGAAATTGAGAGATCTTTTGTGAAACAGACTTTCCGCCAGGACACTCTCTGTTGTACTTTGGAGTCAGTGGAATAAAGAGTTTTAGTTATCTGAGGAGACAAACCACATGACAGAATACTTAGTGCAGGAGGTTGAAGGTGCTGACACTTCACTCTGTTTCCTTCTCTCCAATCACAGGAATTCTGGGATGCAAGTGAACACGGTAAATATTCAGGGATCAACACTCTGCTGAGGTACAATCCATCTGATAAAGCTGGGGTTTTCTGACTGGCTCTGGTTGGAGAGTGGCCCTGATGCTGGATCCCTACTTGGGGTGCGGGCTGGAGGTGCATGGAAGAGACTGATCTCCCAGGATAGAATAATGTCTTTATTCTATGGTACCTGGAAGCAACTACATCATTTAGATGCTGTGGGTTTGTGTGAATCGGGCATGGGGGCCCATGTGTGGGCCCAGTGGTGTGATTCTGATGCTCTGTGTCTGTGTGTGTTTCCTCAGGAGATGTTTTCCTCCTACAAAGCACAAGTCACCTGTGAACTTTCTAAACACTTCTTATCACCACTGCCCACTGACTATACATTACTTGATTCTTTCCTCAACTCAGCCATTCCTCATGTTTGGTTAATATTCATTTTCCTCAATTGAAGAAGGTGCTGAATACAATGGCCCAAGCTGTTGACAATTCTATGTTGAAAAGCCAAACTGAGAACCTAGGGGTGTTCCCAGTGTGACTGCTCTGGACCCCTGACCTTCACTTATCACTCAGCGTTGAAATCCTGGTCATGGGGCAAGGGCTGGCTGCATCTGTGCTTTTGCCTGGAGGTACTAGAGCTCCAGAGATCCAGACGGTGTACATCATCGCAAGACGGTCTCAGTGGTCAAGGAACCCAGGGCAAATATAAGCAGATTATCACCAACTTTGGCACAGTCATTATCGTCAAAGGCACCTAGGGACTGACATCCTCCTGGTCAGTTCACAGAACTGGCAGTTGTATGCCCTGGTTTAGACAGGACAGGCCAAATCTGTTCATGCTAGTGTCATTGCTTAACCAAGGAGAAAAGCAGATTACCATCAGGGAGATATTTCATTGTACTGGGTGACAACACCATAAGCCTTAGGTCGGTTCAAGCCTACAGCACACTCTCAAGGGCAGGTGTCAAATAGATCTCATGGTGGAACTTGACAGTCTGCTTGGTGACTCGACTCTAGTAAACCTCCTGCATACCTGAGTCCAAGAAAGTCAGCGTTTGCCCCAGGCGTCCTCTCCATAGTGAACTGTCCCACTCAATGTATGGCTTCTCTGAGTGTCAGCAGACACTCATTCAGGGACGCGCAAATGTTGGTTGGACAATTAAGACTGGCAAGAAACATTACCTGAGTGATTCTAGCCTAATATCTCTTTGGCAAGTTAGAATTGAATTCAGTCCTCTAGCAGAGACTGCTTTTCATCAAGAACAAAATCTCTCTGAAAACTCAGTAAGTGCAATGGCTGTAACTGAATCCTGGGGAGGCAGTGATCTAGGAAGAAATCCTTCTGGATAGGTGTTGTTTTGCAGAAGATGTAAACATGCAGGAGGTTCATGAGTCTCTGTCATTGAAAGGTGGCATGCATTTTAGTGTTTATTTTCTGATCTCTGAGGTTATCACTAGTTAAAATGGAGAGGTTCTCTTACATTATTTCCTGCTCCTCCAATTTGCTCTTATTTATGCAACAGAGAGGATGATTCAACAGCCACTCAATCCCAAGTTACTAATGCCTTAAGCATACAGTCCACCCCATGCCCCCGCCCCCCAAGAAAGCTTCCTGAGTGGTTAGTGACCAGCTTCTCCTGTTCACCAATATCTCTTCCTTGTCCCTCTAGCTCCCCAGGCGGATCTGGAAGAGGAAACATGCCACGACTTGACCGAGGTAAAGGCTCTGAGTACTGTGAGTGTACCTGCACCTTTCTTTATCTGTGATAAGATTGTTGCTTCACTTTATTTCTTATTCAGACAAATACAGTTATAGTCATCTGACAATTTACATTCCCACTGAGGCATGTAATTCCTTGGCTGGGAAAAGTGTGAGGATAAATCTATTATCAACACAGACCTATTTCACAAGGACATTAAAAAAAGACAGCATCATTTACTACTGTAGGTACTTTGGTCAGCATAAAGTTCTCTTTCTTTTTTTAAATGTTTTCTGTTTTTCTTTCAAAGTTCAATTTCTTGAAAAGCAATTTGTTATTGTTGGACACATTGAAATTGAGAGATCTTTTGTGAAACAGACTTTCCGCCAGTACACTCTCTGTTTTACTTTGAAGTCATTGGAAAAAAGAGTTTTAGTTATCTGAGGAGACAAACCACATGACAGAATACTTAGTGCAGGAGGTGGAAGATGCTGAAACCTCACTCTGTTTCCTTCTCTCCAGTCACAGGAATTCGGGGATGCGAGTGAACATGGTAAATATTCAGGGATCAACACTCTGCTGAGGTACAATCCATCGGATAAAGCTGGGGTTTTCTGACTGGCTCTGGTTGGAGAGTGGTGCTGATTCTGGATCCCTACTTGGGGTGCGGGCTGGAGGTGCATGGAAGAGACTGATCTCCCAGGATAGAATAATATCTTTATTCTATGGTACCTGGAAGCAGCTACATCATTTAGATGCTGTGGGTTTGTGTGAATCGGGCTTGGGGGCCCATGTGTGGGCCGAGTGGTGTGATTCTGATGCTCTGTGTCTGTGTGTGTTTCCTCAGGAGATGTTTCCCTCTTACACAGCACAAGTCACCTGTGAACTTTCTAAACACTTCTTATCACCACTGCACACTGACTATACATTACTTGATTCATTCCTCAGCTCAGCCATTCCTCATGTTTGGTTAATATTCATTTTCCTCAATTGAAGAAGGTGCTGAATACAATGGCCCAAGCTGTTGACAATTCTATGTTGAAAAGCCAAACTGAGAACCTAGGGGTGTTCCCAGTGTGACTGCTCTGGACCCCTGACCTTCACTTATCACTCAGCGTTGAAATCCTGGTCATGGGGCAAGGTCTGGCTGCATCTGTGCTTTTGCCTGGAGGTACTAGAGCTCCAGAGATCCAGACCGTGTACATCATCGCAAGACGGTCTCAGTGGTCAAGGAACCCAGGGCAAACATAAGCAGATTATCACCAACTTTGGCACAGTCATTATCGTCAAAGGCACCTAGGGACTGACATCCTCCTGGTCAGTTCACAGAACTGGGAGTTGTATGCCCTGGTTTAGACAGGACAGGCCAAATCTGTTCCTGCTAGTGTCATTGCTTAACCAAGGAGAAAAGCAGATTACCATCAGGGAGATATTTCATTGTACTGGGTGACAACACCATAAGCCTTAGGTCAGTTCAAGCCTACAGCACACTCTCAAGGGCAGGTGTCAAATAGATCTCATGGTGGAGCTTGACAGTCTGTTTGGTGACTTAACTCTAGTAAACCTCGTGCATACCTGAGTCCAAGAAAGTCAACGTTTGCCCCAGGCTTTCTCTCCATCGTGAACTGTCCCACTCAATGTATGGCTTCTCTGAGTGTCAGGAGAGACTCATTCAGGGACGCGCAAATGTTGGTTGGACAATTAAGACTGGCAAGAAACATTACCTGATTGATTCTAGCCTAATAGCTCTCTGGCAAGTTAGAATTGAATTCAGTCCTCTAGCAGAGACTGCTTTTCATCAAGAACAAAATCTCTCCGAAAACTCAGTAAGTGCAATGGCTGTAACTGAATCCTGGGGAGGCAGTGATCTAGGAAGAAATCCTCTGGATAAGTGTTGTTTTGCAGAATACGTAAACATGCAGGAGGTTCATGAGTCTCTTTCATTGAAAGGTTGCATGCATTTTAGTGTTTCTTATTTTCCGATCTGTGAGGTAATCACTAGTTAAAATGCAGAGGTTCTCTTTCACTATTTCCTGCTCCTCCAATTTGCTCTTATTTATGCAACAAAGAGGATGATTCAACAGCCACTCAGTCCCAAGTTACTAATGCCTTAAGCATACAGTCCACCCCATGCCCCCGCCCCCCAAGAAAGATTCCTGAGTGGTTAGTGACCAGCTTCTCCTGTTCACCAATGTCTCTTCCTTGTCCCTCTAGCTCCCCAGGCGGATCTGGAAGAGGAAACATGCCACGACTTGACCGAGGTAAAGGCTCTGAGTTCTGTGAGTGTACCTGCACCTTTCTTTATCTGTGATAAGATTGTTGCTTCACTTTATTTGTTATTCAGACAAATACAGTTATAGTCATCTGACAATTTGCATTCCCACTGAGGCATGTAATTCCTTGGCTGGGAAAAGAGTGAGGAGAAATCTATTATCAACACAGACCTATTTCACAAGGACATTAAAAAAAGACAGCATCATTTACTACTGTAGGTACTTTGGTCAGCATAAAGTTCTCTTTCTTTTTTTGAATGTTTTCTGTTTTTCTTTCAAAATTCTCTTTCTTGAAAAGCAATGTGTTATTGTTGGACACATTGAAATTGAGAGATCTTTTGTGAAACAGACTTTCCGCCAGGACACTCTCTGTTGTACTTTGGAGTCAGTGGAATAAAGAGTTTTAGTTATCTGAGGAGACAAACCACATGACAGAATACTTAGTGCAGGAGGTTGAAGGTGCTGACACTTCACTCTGTTTCCTTCTCTCCAATCACAGGAATTCTGGGATGCAAGTGAACACGGTAAATATTCAGGGATCAACACTCTGCTGAGGTACAATCCATCTGATAAAGCTGGGGTTTTCTGACTGGCTCTGGTTGGAGAGTGGCCCTGATGCTGGATCCCTACTTGGGGTGCGGGCTGGAGGTGCATGGAAGAGACTGATCTCCCAGGATAGAATAATGTCTTTATTCTATGGTACCTGGAAGCAACTACATCATTTAGATGCTGTGGGTTTGTGTGAATCGGGCATGGGGGCCCATGTGTGGGCCCAGTGGTGTGATTCTGATGCTCTGTGTCTGTGTGTGTTTCCTCAGGAGATGTTTTCCTCCTACAAAGCACAAGTCACCTGTGAACTTTCTAAACACTTCTTATCACCACTGCCCACTGACTATACATTACTTGATTCTTTCCTCAACTCAGCCATTCCTCATGTTTGGTTAATATTCATTTTCCTCAAGTGAAGAAGGTGCTGAGGACAATGGCCCAAGCTGTTGACAATTCTATGTTGAAAAGCCAAACTGAGAACCTAGGCGTGTTCCCAGTGTGACTGCTCTGGACCCCTGACCTTCACTTATCACTCAGCGTTGAAATCCTAGACATGGGGCAAGGGCTCCCTGCATCTGTGCTTTTGCCTGGAGGTTCTAGAGCTCCAGAGATCCAGACCGTGTACATCATTGCAAGATGGTCTCAGTGGTCAAGGAACCCAGGGCAAACATAAGGAGATTATCACCAACTTTGGCACAGTCATTATTGTCAAAGCACCTAGGGACTGACAACCTCCTGGTCAGTTCACAGAACTGGGAGTTGTATGCCCTGGTTTAGACAGGACAGGCCTAATCTGTTCATGCTAGTGTCACTGCTTAACCAAGGACAAAAGCAGATTACCATCAGGGAGGTATTTCATTATACTGGGTTACAACACCATAAGCCTTAGGTCGGTTCAACCCTGCAACACACTCTCAAGGGAAGGTGTCAAATAGATCTCATGGTTGAACTTGACAGTCTGCTTGTTGACTCGACTCTAGTAAACCTCGTACATACCTGAGTCCAGGAAATTCAACGTTTACCCCATGCTTCTTCTCCATAGTGAACTGTCCCACTCAATGTATGGCTTCTCTGAGTGTCAGCAGACACTCATTCAGGGACGCGCAAATATTGGTTGGACAATTAAGACTGGCAAGAAACGTTACCTGAGTGGTCCTAGCTTAATAGCTATTTGGCAAGTTAGAATTGAATTCTCTCCTCTAGCAGAGACTGCTTTTCATCAAGAACAAAGTCTCTCAGGAAACTCAGTAAGTGCAATAGCTGTAACTGAATCCTGGGGAGGCAGTGATCTAGGAAGAAATCCTTCTGGATAGGTGTTGTTTTGCAGAAGATGTAAACACGCAGGAGGTTCCTGAGTCTCTGTCATTGAAAGGTGGCATGCATTTTCCTTTTAATTTTTTTCCGATCTGTTAGGTTATAACTAGTTAAAATGCAGAGGTTCTCTTTCACTATCTCCTGCTCCACCGATGTGCTCTTATTTATGCAACAAAGAGGATGATTCAACAGGCTCTCAGTCCCCAGTTACTAATTCCTTTACCATACAGTCCAGCCCATGCCCCCGCCCCCCAAGAAAGTTTCCTGAGTGATTGATGAGCAGCTTCTCCTGTGCGCCAATGTCTCTTCCTTGTCCCTCTAGCTCCCTGGGAGAATCTGGAAGAGGCAACATTCCACGACTTGACTGAGGTAAAGGCTCTGAGTACTGTGAATGTAACTGCACCTTTCTTTATCTGTGATAAGATTGTTGCTTCACTTTATTTGTTATTCAGACAAATACAGTTATAGTCATCTGATAATTTGCATTCCCACTGAGGCATGTAATTCCTTGGCTGGGAAAAGAGTGAGGATAAATCTATTATCAACACAGACCTATTTCACAAGGACATTAAAAAAAGCATCATTTACTACTGTAGGTACTTTGGTCAGCATAAAGTTCTCTTTCTTGTTTTTAATGTTTTCTGTTTTTCTTTCAAAGTTCAATTTCTTGAAAAGCAATGTGTTATTGTTGGACACATTGAAATTGAGAGATCTTTTGTGAAACAGACTTTCCGCCAGGACACTCTCTGTTGTACTTTGGAGTCACTGGAATAAAGAGTTTTAGTTATCTGAGGAGACAAACCACATGACAGAATACTTAGTGCAAGAGATTGAAGATGCTGACACCTCACTCTGTTTCCTTCTCTCCAGTCACAGGAATTCGGGGACGTGAGTGAACACGGTAAATATTCAGGGATCAACACTCTGCTGAGGTACAATCCATCTGATAAAGCTGGGGTTTTCTGACTGGCTCTGGTTGGAGAGTGGCCCTGATGCTGGATCCCTACTTGGGGTGCGGGCTGGAGGTGCATGGAAGAGACTGATCTCCCAGGATAGAATAATGTCTTTATTCTATGGTACCTGGAAGCAACTACATCATTTAGATGCTGTGCGATTGTGTGAATCGGGATTGGGGGCCCATGTGTGGGCCCAGTGGTGTGATTCTGATGCTCTGTGTCTGTGTGTGTTTCCTCAGGAGATGTTTCCCTCTTACACAGCACAAGTCACCTGTGAACTTTCTAAACACTTCTTATCACCACTGTACACTGACTATACATTACTTGATTCATTCCTCAGCTCAGCCATTCCTCATGTTTGGTTAATATTCATTTTCCTCAATTGAAGAAGGTGCTGAGGACAATGGCCCAAGCTGTTGACAATTCTATGTTGAAAAGCCAAACTGAGAACCTAGGGGTGTTCCCAGTGTGACTGCTCTGGACCCCTGACCTTCACTTATCACTCAGCGTTGAAACCCTGGTCATGGGGCAAGGGCTGGCTGCATCTGTGCTTTTGCCTGGAGGTACTAGAGCTCCAGAGATCCAGACCATGTACATCATTGCAAGACGGTCTCAGTGCTCAAGGAACCCAGGGCAAACATAAGCAGATTATCACCAACTTTGGCACAGTCATTATCGTCAAAGGCACCTAGGGACTGACACCCTCCTGGTCGGTTCACAGAACTGGGAGTTGTATGCCCTGGTTTAGACAGGACAGGCCAAATCTGTTCGTGCTAGTATCATTGCTTAACCAAGGACAAAAGCAGATTACCATCAGGGAGATATTTCATTGTACTGGGTGACAACACCATAAGCCTTAGTTCGGTTCAACCCTGCAGCACACTCTCAAGGGCAGGTGTCAAATAGATCTCATGGTGGAACTTGACAGTCTGCTTAGTGACTCGACTCTGGTAAACCTCGTGCATACCTGAGTCCAAAAAATTCAGCGTTTACCCCGTGCTTCCTCTCCATCGTGAACTGTCCCACTCAATGTATGGCTTCTCTGAGTGTCAGCAGACACTCATTCAGGGACGCGCAAATGTTGGTTGGACAATTAAGACTGGCAGGAAACATTACCTGAGTGATTCTAGCCTAATATCTCTTTGGCAAGTTAGAATTGAATTCAGTCCTCTAGCAGAGACTGCTTTTCATCAAGAACAAAATCTCTCTGAAAACTCAGTAAGTGCAATGGCTGTAACTGAATCCTGGGGAGGCAGTGATCTAGGAAGAAATCCTTCTGGATAGGTGTTGTTTTGCAGAAGATGTAAACATGCAGGAGGTTCATGAGTCTCTGTCATTGAAAGGTGGCATGCATTTTAGTGTTTCTTATTTTCTGATCTCTGAGGTTATCACTAGTTAAAATGGAGAGGTTCTCTTACATTATTTCCTGCTCCTCCAATTTGCTCTTATTTATGCAACAAAGAGGATGATTCAGCAGCCACTCAATCCCAAGTTACTAATGCCTTAAGCATACAGTCCACCCCATGCCCCCGCCCCCCAAGAAAGCTTCCTGAGTGGTTAGTGACCAGCTTCTCCTGTTCACCAATGTCTCTTCCTTGTCCCTCTAGCTCCCCAGGAGGTTTTGGAAGAGGCAACATGCCACGACTTGACTGAGGTAAAGACTCTGAGTACTGTGAATGTAACTGCACCTTTCTTTATCTGTGATAAGATTGTTGCTTCACTTTATTTGTTATTCAGACAAATACAGTTATAGTCATCTGATAATTTGCATTCCCACTGAGGCATGTAATTCCTTGGCTGGGAAAAGAGTGAGGATAAATCTATTATCAACACAGACCTATTTCACAAGGACATTAAAAAAAGACAGCATCGTTTACTACTGTAGGTACTTTGTTCAGCATAAAGTTCTCTTTCTTGTTTTTAATGTTTTCTTTTTTTTTTTTTTTGAAAGTTCTCTTTCTTGAAAAGCAGGGTGTTATAGTTGGACACATTGAAATTGAGAGATCTTTTGTGAAACAGACTTTCCGCCAGGACACTCTCTGTTGTACTTTGGAGTCACTGGAAAAAAGAATTTTAGTTATCTGAGGAGACAAACCACATGATAGAATACTTAGTGCAGGAGGTTGAAGATGCTGACACTTCACTCTGTTTCCTTCTCTCCAATCACAGGAATTCTGGGACGCAAGTGAACACGGTAAATATTCAGGGATCAACACTCTGCTGAGGTACAATCCATCTGATAAAGCTGGGGTTTTCTGACTGGCTCTGGTTGGAGAGTGGCCCTGATGCTGTATCCCTACTTGGGGTGCGGGCTGGAGGTGCATGGAAGAGACTGATCTCCCAGGATAGAATAATGTCTTTATTCTATGGTACCTGGAAGCAACTACATCATTTAGATGCTGTGGGTTTGTGTGAATCGGGCATGGGGGCCCATGTGTGGGCCCAGTGGTGTGATTCTGATGCTCTGTGTCTGTGTGTGTTTCCTCAGGAGATGTTTTCCTCCTACACAGCACAAGTCACCTGTGAACTTTCTAAACACTTCTTATCACCACTTCCCACTGACTATACATTACTTGATTCTTTCCTCAGCTCAGCCATTCCTCACGTTTGGTTAATATTCATTTTCCTCAAGTGAAGAAGGTGCTGAGGACAATGGCCCAAGCTGTTGACAATTCTATGTTGAAAAGACAAACTGAGAACCTAGGTGTGTTCCCACTGTGACTGCTCTGGACCCCTGACTTTCACTTATCACTCAGCGTTGAAAGCCTAGTCATGGGGTAAGGGCTGGCTGCATCTGTGCTTTTGCCTGGAGGTACTAGAGCTCCAGAGATCCAGACCGTGTGCATCATTGCAAGGTGGTCTCAGTGGTCAACGAACCCAGGGCAAATATAAGCAGATTATCACGAACTTTAGCACAGTCATTACTGTCAAAGGCACCTAGGGACTGACATCCTCCTAGTCAGTTCACAGAACTGGGAGTTGTATGCCCTGGTTTAGACAGGACAGGCCAAATCTGTTCGTGCTAGTGTCATTGCTTAACCAAGGACAAAAGCAGATTACCATCAGGGAGATATTTCATTGTACTGGGTGACAACACCATAAGCCTTAGGTCGGTTCAGCCCTGCAGCACACTCTCAAGGGAAGGTGTCAAGTAGATCTGCTGGTGGAACTTGACAGTCTGCTTGGTGACTCGACTCTAGTAAACTTTGTGCATACCTGAGTCCAAGGAAGTCAGCGTTTGCCCCAGGCTTTCTCTCCATAGTGAACTGTCCCACTCAATGTATGGCTTCTCTGAGTGTCAGCAGACACTCATTCAGGGACGCGCTAATGTTGGTTGGACAATTAAGAATGGCAAGAAACATTACCTGAGTGGTTCTACTTAATAGCTATTTGGCAAGTTAGAATTGAATTCAGTCCTCTAGAGGAGACTCCTTTTCATCAAGAACAAAGGCTCTCAGAAAACTCAGTAAGTGCAATAGCTGTAACTGAATCCTGAGGAGGCAGTGATCTAGGAAGAAATCCTTCTGGATAGGTGTTGTTTTGCAGAAGATATAAACACGCAGAAGGTTCCTGACTCTCTGTCATTGAAAGGTGGCATGCATTTTAGTGTTTCTTATTTTCCGATCTGTGAGGTAATCACTAGTTAAAATGCAGATGTTCTCTTTCACTATTTCCTGCTCCTCCAATTTGCTCTTATTTATGCAACAAAGAGGATGATTCAACAGCCACTCAGTCCCAAGTTACTAATGCCTTAAGCATACAGTCCACCCCATGCCCCCGCCCCCCAAGAAAGATTCCTGAGTGGTTAGTGACCAGCTTCTCCTGTTCACCAATGTCTCTTCCTTGTCCCTCTAGCTCCCCAGGCGGATCTGGAAGAGGCAACATGCCACGACTTGACTGAGGTAAAGGCACTGAGTACTGTGAATGTAACTGCACCTTTCTTTATCTGTGATAAGATTGTTGCTTCACTTTATTTGTTATTCAGACAAATACAGTTATAGTCATGTGACAATTTGCATTCCCACTGAGGCATGTAATTCCTTGGCTGGGAAAAGAGTGAGGATAATTCTATTATCAACACAGACCTAATTCACAAGGACATTAAAAAAAGACAGCATCATTTACTACTGTAGGTACTTTGCTCAGCATAAAGTTCTCTTTCTTGTTTTTAATGTTTTCTTTTTTTTTTTTTTGAAAGTTCTCTTTCTTGAAAAGCAGTGTGTTATAGTTGGACACATTGAAATTGAGAGATCTTTTGTGAAACAGACTTTCCGCCAGGACACTCTCTGTTGTACTTTGGAGTCACTGGAATAAAGAGTTTTAGTTATCTGAGGAGACAAACCACATGACAGAATCCTTAGTGCAGGAGGTTGAAGATGCTGACACCTCACTCTGTTTCCTTCTCTCCAATCACAGGAATTCTGGGACGCAAGTGAACACGGTAAATATTCAGGGATCAACACTCTGCTGAGGTACAATCCATCTGATAAAGCTGGGGTTTTCTGACTGGCTCTGGTTGGAGAGTGGCCCTGATGCTGGATCCCTACTTGGGGTGCGGGCTGGAGGTGCATGGAAGAGACTGATCTCCTGGGATAGAATAATGTCTTTATTCTATGGTACCTGGAAGCAACTAAATCATTTAGATGCTGTGTGTTTGTGTGAATCGGGCTTGGGGGCCCATGTGTGGGCCCAGTGGTGTGATTCTGATGTTCTGTGTCTGTGTGTGTTTCCTCAGGAGATGTTTACCTCCTACACAGCACAAGTCACCTGTGAACTTTCTAAACACTTCTTATCGCCACTGCCCACTGACTATACATTACTTGATTCTTTCCTCAGCTCAGCCATTCCTCATGTTTGGTTAATATTCATTTTCCTCAAGTGAAGAAGGTGCTGAGGACAATGGCCCAAGCTGTTGACAATTCTATGTTGAAAAGCCAAACTGAGAACCTAGGGGTGTTCCCAGTGTGACTGCTCTGGACCCCTGACCTTCACTTATCACTCAGCGTTGAAAGCCTAGTCATGGGGCAAGGGCTGGCTGCATCTGTGCTTTTGCCTGGAGGTACTAGAGCTCCAGAGATCCAGACCGTGTACATCATTGCAAGATGGTCTCAGTGGTCAAGGAACCCAGGGCAAATATAAGCAGATTATTACCAACTTTGGCACAGTAATTATCGTCAAAGGCCCCTAGGGACTGACATCCTCCTAGTCAGTTCACAGAACTGGGAGTTGTATGCCCTGGTTTAGACAGGACAGGCCAAGTGTGTTCGTGCTAGTTTCATTGCTTAACCAAGGACAAAAGCAGATTACCATCAGGGAGATATTTAATTGTACTGTGTGAGAACACCATAAGCCTTAGGTCAGTTCAACCCTGCAGCACACTCTCAAGGGCAGTTGTCAAATAGATCTCATGGTGGAACTTGACAGTCTGCTTGGTGTCTTGCCTCTAGTAAACCTCGTGCATACCTGAGTCCAAGAAAGTCAACGTTTGCCCCAGGCTTTCTCTCCATAGTGAACTGTCCCACTCAATATATGGCTTCTCTGAGTGTCAGCAGACACTCATTCAGGGACACGCAAATGTTGGTTGGACAATTAAGACTGGCAAGAAACGTTACCTGAGTCGTTCTAGCTTAATAGCTATTTGGCAAGTTAGAATTGAATTCTGTCCTGTAGTAGAGACTGCTTTTCATCAAGAACAAAGTCCCTCAGAAAACTCAGTAAGTGCAATAGCTGTAACTGAATCCTGGGGAGGCAGTGATGTAGGAAGATGTCCTTCTGGATAGGTGTTGTTTTGCAGAAGATATAAACACACAGGAGGTTCCTGAGTCTCTGTCATCGAAAGATGGCATGCATTTTAGTGTTTCTTGTTTTCCAAAAATGCCGATGTTCTCTTTCATTTCTTTCATGCTCCTCTCATTTTTACTCCTTCATCTAGCAAAAAGGATGATTCATCAGCAGCTTATTACATATTTAGTTAGCTCCCTCATGCATACTCTACACCCCTTGTCCATCTCAAAAAAGAGTAAAAGCTGAGTGATTGTTGAATAGCTTCACCAGTGTCCTAACAGCTACTCTGTCCCTGTAGCTCCCGAGGAATACGTTGTGGAGGAACTGTGCTTTCTATAATCTACTGTCCCACTCAACCGATGGCCCCTGTGCATATGGACAACTACTGGATCAGTGGAAATTCACACACTTTATAGAAAATGAATATTGATAGATAAATTCTGTATTATTCATAATGGCTATTTTTAAGTGCTAGGAATTCAGAAATATAAAATCTTGTGTATTTGCTTTTCTTTAAGACAATTAATTAGTGAATTAATAGCATAGTATACTTTGCCAGGATTGAATTCAGTCCTGTAACCGAGTTTACTTTAAATCAATTACAAAACCTTATAGAAGTCATGATGAACAGAGTAGCAGCAACTGTGGATCTCAGAGGAAGAGTGATCTGGGAAAAATCAAGAGACAGTGGCAATTTACCCGAAGCTCACAATGAGCAGGAGCAGTCATGGTCTCTCTCACTGAACAGTACTTACATTTTAGAGTTTTCCATGTTTTAGGTTGAATATTTCCTGTTGATTAGGCTCCTCTAGCTAGAAGGCCAACGATCTGCATTCATTTCCTTCCACCTCTCCTTTACTTTCCTTCCTCCTCCAAAGAGGATGGATGAACACAAGTTCAGTCCATGCTTATTAACCTCCCACATCCATACACACCACCCCATGTCCACACAAAGAGAAAACCCCCTGCATGATTCCTGAGCAGCCTCACCGCTGTTCTAACAGCTACTCTGTGTCCCTCTAGGTTTCACTGAGGACCTGCCAGTCAACCCAGCTTGTGACAAGACAGAGGAGACTCCATGTGCCTCCAAGGAAAGATTTTTTTCCTTTTTTCTGGTCTGAAATAGAAATATTGTTTCCTTTCTTTTTAAGTACAATTAAGTTGTGCATCTTTGAAGGTGTTCCTTTCAGACAGAGGCGATTTCCTTGGTTGGGATAATGTGAAGTGATATACTTATTACCAAATCATGATGCCTCAGTCCACAGGATATTAAAATTGTTAGCATCCATTACACCCTGTAGAGTACAGAGTTCTCTCTCCTGCAGCAAGATTTCCTCTAAGAAAAGAATTCTGCAATTTCCAATCCAAATGAACTTGGAAGTTCCATCCTCCAGGCAAAGGTCTTGCCTTTCATCCTGAGTATGTGTGTTCTGATAGTGATGGGTTCCGTGGACTTCACCACTGTTCCTCATCAGGAACTGTCACCAAATGAACCAAAGACTGTGCATCTATGTGATCTTATCCTCATAGTGTCTTCTCTTCTGTACTTGCAGGTAGCTCTTTCAGAATGTGAAAGTCGTATGTATTCTAGAATCATTCATTTTAGGAGAAAAATTTGTAGATGAGAAAGTTGGGGCTTTCTCTCTGGTTTTAGTGTAGAGGCCAAACTGATTCAAAATTCATGGGGGCAATGAGTATAGGGGCCCTCATGATAGAAAGTAATTTATAAGTAGAGCAATGTGGCTGATTACTGTAGTCCCAGGAAGAAGCTGTGTTATGGTTAATAGTGTGGGGTTTTGTCCATGGGATTGGGTGTATATCTGTGTGTAATGAACAGTGTGATTCTTCATGTGTCTGTGAATGTTTTTGTCTTGTGTTTTCATCAATATTTGTCACCCTAAATGTCACTGTTACTGGTGTCAACTTCCCCCGAAAATTTCCCATCACCATGAGCCATTAATGAGTATATATATGTGTGTGTGTGTGTGTGTGTGTGTATATATATAAAATTAAGCCAAGTATACACATTCACTGTATCCATTGATTTTATACCAAGTGAACATCCATTACCCTGAAAGACACATCCCGTCCCTACCCAGGAAAATGTTCACCCTGGAGTCTTTTTAACTTTTCTTAATTTTTCTCTTGGCTCTGCTGGGTCTTCATTGCTGCGCAGGGTTTCCTCTGCTTGTGGATAGTGAGGGCATCTCTCGCGTTGCGGTGTGCAGGCGTATCACTTTAGTGCTTCTTTTGTTGCAGAGTGTGGCTTCTAGGGCTCTTGGGCTTCAGTAGTTTCAGAAGCTGGGCGCTGTGCTGTGCCTCCTGGACTCTAGAACACGGTTCAGTCCTTGTGGTGCACCAGCAGGTTTAGGTTCTGCGAGGCATGTGGACTCTTTCCAGACCAGGGATTGAGCTCGTATCTCCTTCATTGGCATGTGGATTCCTACCCATTGATGCACCAGTGAAGCCCTGTATGATTCTTAGAAAACAAGACCATGTTTCAGTATCTCCCTCCTGGGTCCGTCACCCCTTCATTTAATCATAAATCCCATTTCTTAATAGGTCTTGTAGCATTTTGTTTGGTCATGATTCATCACTCCGCCGTTTCCCTCATTCAAACTCTTTCCTATTACAGCCTCAGAATGAATCTCACCCCCTCAATCAAGGCCCCCAGTACTGGGGAGGCTCTTTCCTTCTGCAGGGAGCCCCTGGTGGTACCCACATGCCACACCTAGGTCTAGAGGAATCTGAGAAAAAAGGAACCTAAAAGCATAGATGAAGTTCAGTCCAGCTTTGCCTCTTAAGCTTTGAAGTGTCCAGTCAGGCCTGTTAATTCAATGCCCTGTGTTTTTCAGCTTGTCTCTAGAACTTTTCCATCCTGCAACAAAAATTTTATAACCATTGAACAGACACTCCCTCTGTCAACCTCCTCCCAGTTCTTGGAACCACCCTTCTACTCTCTGCTTCTCTGAATTTTCCTTCAGATACATCAGGTAAATGGAATTGTGCAGTATTTGTCCTCCTTTGACCTCCTTATTTCACTCTTACCAATATCCTCGAGCTTCATTCACGGTGCTGCAAATGACAAGATGTCCTTCATTTTAAAATGCTGAAACACCTTGCAGTGTATGTATACACCACATTTTCTTTTTGATTTATCTGCCCGTGGACACTGGGCAGTTTTCTTGGATTTTGTGTACAATACAGCAATGGATACATGATTGTAGATATCTCCTGGATATTCTCATTTTATCTTCTTTGGACATAAACTCAAAAGAGTGATTCCTGGATCTTATGATCGTTCTCTTAACATTATTTTCTTTTTATAATACACAGCCTGAAAGGTGATATCTCCTTTTGACTTGGTTTCTATTTCACTGATACTTAGTGATGTTGAGCACTATGCCTATGAATATTGGTCACTTCTCTGTCTTCTATGAAGAAATATCTATTGAAGCCTTTTACACATCTTTTATTTTTTTTAAGTCGGTTATTTGCCTGTTGTTGTTTTGAAGTTGAGCTGTAGTAGTTGCTATATATTCTGAATATTGGCCCATTATGCAGATACAAAGTTTGCAGATACTTCTTCTCATTTCATCAGTTTACCTTTCTGCTGATTGTTGAGGAGACCATCCTTTCTTTACATGGTCATTTTAG